TTATCCAATAATAATAATAATAATAATAATAAATAGGAATAATAAAATGTGTGCAATTAAAATTAATTTATAACATGATATATATAAAAAAATGAAAACAAAACATTGAAAATATTGTGTGCATACGTAATACTAATAAATTCAATAACATAATTAACACTAGGTAGTCTAATTGTTGTTATTGGTATTGCCTAAAGATATTAAATATTCTACAATAGTATTAAATTATACATATTAATATGAAAGACTAATCTTTCAGACTTAATGAAAATAAAGAAAACGTTTTCTTTATAATTGCATGCCAATAATATCGACAAAAATATTCTAAGAGTATTAAAAAAGTTTCATAAAATCGATGACAATAGGTACCTAATAACTACAACACTAATTTATATAAAATAATTTAATAGAATAGAATATAATGTAAGAAATTATTAATTGAAAAAATAAATTATTACATAATCACAGGCTATACGGATATTGTATTAAATATTCAATCAGTTCATTCGGTAGTGATGTAGGAGTGATGGTGATCAGACACTTGTGTCTATTAATCACTAAACGAGCCAAGTGCTTCAGGGACGGGAACCCTTTAGCATCAGTCTTAATCATCGGTATTTGAAGATTCATCCAGGAGAAACATTGTCCTCGCCGATTAGTCCACGCGGGATACGGAAGCACTCGACGAGATGTATCGATACGGGACAGTCTTACGTAGTAGTCAATTAGTTCTATAGGACACCGAAACTTTGGAACTTGCAGGCCACCGGACAGTCTAGGCATTGAATCCAACCCGAACACGCCGTCCGAATACGTGAATCGGACGCTCAATTGTCCTTCGTCAGCCGTTTGAATATCCATTGTAAAAAGGTAGCCGGGGTGCTTGGAATCGCGCACGTAGAATCCTCCGGCAGGCATTTTAGTCAAAGAGTTGCTGGCTCGTGCTTGCGATTCAGCTCCTTCGTAATACCAACCGGACGCCCGCAACTTGTCCACGGCTGCAGAAAGGACCCGTAGATCTCGGACACCTACATCCACTCCCCCTGTGGTGGACGGAGAATTCCGATGGTATCTGTCGGATGGTGCGTGGCCACGGCCGCCAGGTTTACGCGACCTGGACGATACTATTCGGCCGCCTGCGAGAGTCAGTTTGGATCGTTCTCGAGACAGGGCATGGTTCATATACATTTGGTATAACACTTGGTTGCGCTGTTCGAATGCCCATCGATCCCATAAACGGATCCAGCATGCTTGCAACCATAGCGATTTGTCTAAATCGACCGAAGCGGCGTTGTCATCCCGCAGTTGATCACCACTGCCGACACGACATACTGTATTTAACATTTCGCCATGACTTGCCGCTATCAGTCTGTGTAGTACTTAGTCGAGCTGTCGAAACTAAAAAAAAAAGACAATAAATCGTAAGTAAAAAATTGTTATCAAACGTAAAACAACATTATCTTTTCAAACAAGTCATTTTCATACGTAAATAATATAAGGGAAGTCCCGAACAAAATGAATAATAGTTACAATTTGTTAGGTGAAAATTGTTAGTTCAAGTACTTTTTTTCGGCGGATTAAAACATGTCTCGAGAGGGCAAAAGTTTTGAAGAATTATTAATTAAAAATATATTATAATTTGATTTTTGATGTCATAAATTGTTAAAAGAAAACAATACTTGAGTATTGATTATTCTAATCGAGAGTGAGGAAGTGAAGCTTCTTTGTGTGTAAAAGATAAAAAAAAAAAAATGTTTAGTAGTTTTTATGAATCATGTACATTTTGTTAAAATAAATTGAAATCACTTTACTGAGGTAGTAAAATAAATGATTTTATTTTATTTTTTTTAATGTTTTAATATATTACAGATGAATATAAAATTAAATTTAAGAGCACAATTTCAAATTTAAGATCATTTTACAAAATTGTTACTTATTAAAAGATGTTTGATAACAATATTTCGTACTTTTTTTTGCTCTTAAACTTAATATAACCGCTTGCCATGGCTTTCCATACACTCAAAAAAAAAA